CTGTATTAGTGTCACTAGCGATGTCAGTGTCAGTTAGTGACCCTCCCAGATAGTGTCTCTTAGCGCCAGATTGCCTGCCACCCTATCTCAGTCACTATAAGTCGCTGATCACTGCCGTTACAATATAACTTCATAGCTGTGTGAATTCCAGTATATACATCACAGTTTTTAGACGCTATAACTTTCACACACACCAATTAATATACACTTCTTGGGATTTTTATTTTACCAAAGACATGTAACAAAATAAATTTTTGGCCTAAATTTATAAAGAAATTCGATTTTTTAAAATTGGATTTTAAAGAAAATATTGTAGTTTTTTTCAAAATGTTTGGTCTTTTTTCATTTATATCATAAAATATAAAAACCCAGTGGGGTTAAATACCCCCAAAGAAAGCTCTATTTGTATGAAAAAAAAAATATAAAAATTGAATTTAATTACAGTGTTGCATGACTGCACACTTGCCAGTTAAAGTAGCGCAGTGCTGAATAGCAAAAAAACCTCTGGTCATGAAAGGGGTAAAACCTTTCAGAGCTCAAGTGGTTAAAGTTGTTAAAAAACAGACATGAAATATGAACAAAGCATATCCCACTATAGTGTGTACTTGTCTCAATCCATAGCACTAAGTGTCATTTCTATCTGCTGCTTTGTTGTTCTTCTGATATCTGTATGAGTCACTTCTGACAAGTTTTCCTGACACCAAGAGAAAAAAGGTAAGGGGGAGGGGGTTTGGACCTCCAGCACACAGTCTGTGATTGATAGCCTCAGCTCTATTTCCATGTGCTTTGTGAAGGGTGTGTGTCCCTTCCCTCCAATCGGCTCTCAGACCTCTATTCGCTGAGCTCTGCAGTGTGCAATTTCAGATCTCCATCCCCTGTTTTCTGACAGCTCAGACAAGCTTTATAAATTCTGGTCTTTTAACAACTTTAGAGAACAGAGGACCACAAATAACAGGCACAACTTAGGTAGGAAGATGTGTTTCATCTCTGTGTATCACCTGAGGTTAGTCACTTCACTGGATATATGTAAGGGTTTACAACCACTTTAAGGCCCTATTCACACCTGACTTCCAGCATCATCTTTTCTCCTAGCCTGACTGTCCCTGGCCCGCAGATTACATTTTTTGGCAATTCATTTCTTCCATCATGGAGACTCAGGGTTATCTGTGGGTGTTACCTAGGGTTTCCAAATGCAATGCAATCTACTGTACATAGGAATGCCCACTTTTCCAGACTGACACCAGCCATTTTGATACTTGCGTAACCTCTCTAAGAGCCAGCCCGTTTATTGTATCCGGGCATAGTTACATAGTTAGTCTGGCTGAAAAAATACAAAAGTCCATTCAGTTCAACCATTAAACAAAAAAAAAGTTTTAATCCTATACACACAGTTGATCCAGAGCAAAGCATGATCCAATTTGCTCCAGCAGAGGAAAAAAAATCCTTCCTGATCCCCCGAGAGGCAAACGGATATTCCTTGGATCAACTTTACCTATAAATGTTAGTAACCAGTTATAGTCTGTGTATCTAGGAAAGAATCCAGGCCTTTTTTAAAGCAATCCACTGAGCTGGCCAGAACCAACTCTTGAGGGAGTCTATTTCACATTTTCCCAGCTCTCACTGTGAAGAAACCTTTCCATGTTTGGAGATTAAATTTATTTTCCCCCCTTAATCTCCTCTTCTCAAGAGAGAATACATTCAGTTCCTCTAATCTTTCCTTATAGCTGAGCTCCTCCATGCCTCTTATCAGTTTGGTTGTCCTTCTCTGTACTTTCTCCAGTTCCCCAATATTCTTTTTGTGAATTGATGCCCAAAACTGAACTGCATATTCCAGATGAGGTATTACTGATTTGTACAGGGGTAATATGATATCTCTCTCTGGAGTCTATACCTCTTTTAATACAGAGTGATCATAAGAGGAGTACTGAGGCTGGGTGCTGTAATTTTTTCTAGGAGGTGTGTACAGAACTACGATAGTTCCTCCCATCTGTCATCATCTGTGCAGAATTGCATAGAGCAATAAAGTCACTACATAAGGTATATAATGAAAATAGAAACATTTTATTTGAAAAATTGTATCAGCATGTTAATGAAGGGGAAGATGGCGGAACCAGGGAAGGCAAAATATAAGCAGATTGAACTTCAACTTTAAAGTGTTACTAAACCCAGGACCCTGCATTCAGTAAATCTGGTCTCCCACAGTACACACAACATGGAAATGCAATTATTGTAGTAAAAATATAAACTGCTGAATACCTTTTTCTCATCAGCACTTAGAGCAGTCTTGTGACTTCAGCTGAGCACTGGTTGAAGATTCTAGGAGGAGTTTTCTTTCTGCTCTAGGAGGATGCAAAACCCCTGACCTCTGTCTGGACAGTGCTGATTGGCCCTGTACTGATCACATGCACTCTCCCCAGAAAAAAAACCTTTCTAGCAATACACACTAAACTGAGTATGTGCAGAAGGGCTACTGTTTCAGTTTGTCTTATCAGGTGGACATTTGATCAAGATGAACAAGAGCAGGGGCAGAGAAGTCAGGATCAAACAGCCTTTTTACACAGGATCCTTGTTGACAAAGTCCGGAAGAGACGAAACGCGTCCAGAGCACGTGACGTTCCAGGAAGTGCTGCGGCAGCCATTTTGGATTCTGGAATCCCTGTGTGTTGGAGGTCTGGAGAGTAACGGTGCACTTCAGGTGTCCCCCAGAGCTACAAAGTGATAGTGCTGGATAGGAGTAGCAAGGGGGAATTACCTGGTGATCGGGAGACCCTCTACACACAGAAAGGGGATCGTATACTGGGCATGAGGAGTTTGATGCTGTCTTGCTGATCTTATCGTTTTTATATGTAAGTGGCTACAATAAATTTTATATATGATTATAATTCACATACTGATTCCTGGTCTGTTTGTGAGGTCCTGAGGAACAAGAGGATACCAATCTAAGGACACTCTGTACATATGTGGTTGATTACAAGCTGGAATTTGTTTGTTTTAGGGTAATTATGCACTTTTATATATAGTTTGCAGTGATATTTAAAAAAATTTTTTTTTCTTTTTCACATGAGTGCTGTGACACTGGAGTGTTTTTTTTGCATGATACACGTGTGGCACTTTAGTTCTGGGATTTAAAAGGTAATATACTATGTTGAGATTTTGTTTTTTGAGGTATTTGAAGAGCACCTGTGATTGATTTGCATCTTCTTCAGTGGAGTAGGAAGCGTCTTCCTATCAAGAAATTGATCTTTGTTTGGACACATTATTTGGACACTTTGCATATTGGGACTTTATTTATTTTTGTTCTTTTATATATATTTGATATTTTTTATTTTTGGGTAATCTCTTTGGTCTTGATTTTTTTCACTATAATTGTGGGTTTTGGGTTTAAGTCAATGAATATATGTTTTATTAGTACTTCAGGGGAAGGATATTGATATGACTTTAAGGGATTTCTGAGGATTTTATATATATGTGTGCTGATTTATACTTATTCAGAAATGTAATTGAAGTTCTTACCTCCGTCAAGAAGCCTGTTTTCCTTCAGGCCTCTGATCAATGGTATATGACCATCCCAGAAGGACTTTTACTCTCACCAGCTTAAACAAATGTGCCTGGATGTCTTATCTCTGAAACATGTAATTACCTCAATAACACTCCTAAGCCCTGACCATTATCTATCAATCCTAATATTTTACAATAGCCGTTACTCTTCATATGCATCAGAGATAATGAGGTATTTCATTTTTTTCTCTATGTTCTATGTATAAATATACATCTTCACTACCATGTTCAGAACTGTATAATGTACAAAGAGGAAACCTAACACACTGTTGCACATATCTTAAGGCTGAACTTCAGTCTTGCACAGACTCCTTTCCTGTACTGCAAATGCTTACTCTGATTTCAATGCACACAGTGAACTTCTTACAGTGTACATTAGAAGCTGCAGAAAGTCAGATACGGGGGATTTACTAAAACTGGAGCACTCAGAATCTAGTGCAGCCGTGCATGGTAGCCAATCAGCTTCTAACTTCAGCATTTACAATTAAGCTTTGGCAATAAAACCTGGAAGCTGATTGGTTTTTATGCAGAGTTGCACCAGACTTTGCACTCTCCAGCGTTAGTAAATATCCCCCTGCTTCATTTTCTGACATACAACATCATCTAGCTCTTTCCCCTCCAGCCTTACTATCCTTGGCCTTCACCTTTCACTAACTGGATTTCAGTTTCACTTTTAATCATAGAACATCAGATGTGGGCGTTGCTCAGGGCACTCTGCTGTTTTCAAGAAGCTATGAACAGCCCCTCCTACCAACCTTGAAATGCCTGCATTTCATAGAGAAGCACAGAGACCCACTGATGGCATCAATGGGTTGGAAATAAGATATGTAATTAAAGGTTTTATTTAACAAATTTCATTAGCATGCTGATAATGAAGGAAAGGAGGAATTGGTAAGGTAAAATATCATCAATAATATAAAAAATGCCGTTATAAAAAGAATGCACTTATCTTTCCTGCTACCCATGTCATCAGACACTGCTCTGTACAAGAAGAATCCTTGGCTTTAAGTTAGCCAATAAAGGGTATCATTGAAACACTGAACTTTTTGCAGGACCACAGCAAGGCCTAGTGAGGGTGGGGCATAAATAGGTGGAGGAGCATAGTTTTACTGCCCTACAACCGCTCCCGTTTGGCTGCAAGGGCAGCCAGATGAGGTGATACACTGTAACTCTGTGTAATTAAATCAAAAAGATTTCGCTTTAGTGTTTTTTTCTGCTGGAAAAACGCTCAAAAAAACTCTACAAAAACATTTTTTTTTTCTGCTCCTAGAAGCTGATGCTCAAAAAATGCTAATAGCTTAAAGTAGCTTGCATGGACACATAGGATAACACTATTTAGCTTCTAGGAGCAGAAAAAATGCTATTAAAGTGTTACTAAACACACAACAGTAAAATCAGTCTGTATATGCAGTAAAGCATGCTTGGTATACTCACTGTGGAACCTAAGGAGTTAATCCGCTTCATTGTGTAAAAAGGCCGTTTGATCCTGTCTTCTCAGCTCCTCCTCTTGTGCAAATGTCCACAGCTTATCTCCTGACAAAACAAACTGAACCATAGCCATTCTGCACATGCTCAGTTTAGTGTGTATTGTTAGAGCGTTTTATTTTAATCTTGGGAGAGTGCATGTGATCAGCACAGGGCCAATCACATCTGTCCAGACAGAGGTCATGGGTTCTGCATCCTAGAGCAGAAAGAAAACTCCTCCTACTACCTTTAACCAGTGCTCTGCTGAACACTGATAGAAGTCACAACACTGCTCTAACTGCTGATGAGAAAAGGTATTTAGCAGTTTATATTTACTAAAATAATTGCACTTCCATGTTCTGTGTACTGTGGGAGACCAGATAGAGTGCCTGGGTTTAGTAACACTTTAACAGCTTCTAGGAGCTTAAAAAAACGCTAGTGTGCATGGAGCCTCAGACATTTCAAAGTAGACACATGCGTTCAGAAGTGCTGCTCAAGCTCTTCTGAAGAAGTACAGGCAACGTTAAGAAACAAAAACACAGTGGTCAGACAAGGAATTTTACTGTAGCAGATAAAAGACACATATGAAATGGTATCAAAAAGTTTCAAGACTAGTTTTGTACCATGTCAACAGGTGGCAGCACAAGGCTGCACGCACAGTCACAGGAAGCACCAACCTTCATAAGTCAGTGTGCCAAAATACATCCTGTGTACATCGAGAGCTGTGCAACTGGTGCTATTCTGACCACGAAATCTTGCATGAAACTGGGCAAATCTGCCACAGAGACGTTAAACATGATTCGGCAAGTTTACGGCGATGCTGCAATGAGTCGTTCGAGGTGTTTTGAGTGGCATGCGTGCTTAAGAATGGAAGAACATCACTGGAAGACAACAAGAGATCAATAAGACCTTCAATGAGCTCAACCTCTGAAAATGCCCTCTTCCTAAAGATGAAGATCCAGTTCAAAGGTCACTGGTTTGACATTTCAGAGATCCAACAACGTGTATAAAACTCAATGAAGCGCGCATGAAAACTGATGTAAACTGATGTCTCTGCAAGTCAAATCTGCGCATCAGTTTCCATCAATTGTTCTGCGCGTATGGTGTTATAAGGCCAAATAAATTCAATGCATTAAGGTTATAAACCCCCCCCCCCCCAATACTTATCTGAGTCTTGTATGAACTGGTATCTTGTACTCTCCCCTCTCTCACAGGCTTGGCTAAGAGCAAAGGGAACAATTGGTTTCAGCTGCTGTCAAAGAAAACCAGTGAGGGGGTGGGGCTCACACAGACTGGCTCAGGAGCGACATGTCCTACCATAGCCTATGGTGGCACACAGAGAAGAGGAGGAGCTCAGAGTGATGTTAGGGGACCCCAGAAGAGGAGGTTCGGGGCTGTTCTGTGCAATCTCAATGCACAGAACAGGTACCATGTTTAAGAAAAGAAAAATTGTATCTTTACATTAACTTTCAGGAATGGTAACCTGTAAACAATATATTTAAAGCATAAGTTCACCTTTTGGCAAAGAATAATAAATGCACATTTTTTTGCAGGTAAAAAAATGTGCATTTTAATATTTTTTGTTTTAGGAGACTGGAAAACATTGCACCAGAGATCAGCAGATCACTGGTGCAATGCAGGTCTCAGGGAGACTGTCAGTGTAATCTGCCTGTTCGTACCTCGTATGAGCAGGCAATTTTACACTGACAGGAAGAATCAATGAACCTCCACAGAGCACCACTGTAGTTTATTGAGAACTACAAGCCTCCAAGAACTTGTAGTCTTCCCATTCACAGAACACGCCGCCCTCCCGACTGCCTTTTTTTTTTTGTAAATTATGACAGCTAGCAATGGGAGAAGATCCCCATGTTAGCTGTCACAATGGGAGATCAGGGGTGTGGGGGCCAATACAATTGTGACATGTTACACCCTGATTATGGGGGGGGTAACATGTAACATATTACAAAAGTTGAAAACTTATCCTTTAAATATACAGTATATCCAAATTTTGTTCCTGGGCTTAGACTTAAGACTTACACTTTAAGAGTAATCTTAGCTTTTTCCCTTTCCAAAAAAGTAATGTTAGAAATGTGAACATGTTGGGAATCAAGAATTTTGAAGAATATATTGAAATGTCAGCATCAGGACAAATGATTTTATAGTATCTTAGACATGTGACAATAACTTCTGTACCCAATACTCTCCAATTTTGTATATGGCTACTATAAGTAAGTTAGGTCGTGACAGATTTTGCAGTTACTTACAGGCATGTTCTGAATGGCAGTTAAGCGTAATAAACCTAACCCCTTTACAAGGTAAAATAGTCAGTGCTACTATGGCAGCAAAGCAACAGTATCACACATGACCTTTCCATAATGCAGTGAACGTAAAGAACCAAAAAAGATCCCATGTTCTATACCTTTACTATATTGCTATAGTCTCTATGTACACTGCAGCTGATAAACTCACGTTTAGGAGCTTTTCTGCATTTTTTCAGCAGCCCCTGAACTCTCACTAATGTTTTCCTATAAGTCCATGTACAGTATGTCATTTACAGTCATTTAGGGGCAGTTGAGTTTAAAGTCATTTTTTTGAATGCACCAAACTTGTGTTCAGGAGTAGATTTTATCAGTGTTTCAAATGCTTGTAAACGTGTGTAAACGCTGCTAACCACATTTATAGGCGTTTGCGTTTGGAACATTTTTTTAACTCTTCCATTTCCAGATGCTGTCCAGAGCCTTTTTTCATTATGAAAAATGCATGCAAAGCGTTTTCCCAGTACTCAAATGGACCTGGTACACCATACTCCGAGGTTTCACATGAAAGAAAATATGTTAGACACTGCTGCAATAATTTCTGCACAGAAATGAGCTGGAACACATCCAAACACCACAAAAAAAAAGACAGCTAATGTCAACAAATACTGCTCTCTCTGCTTCTGCTCTCTCTATTTCTTTCAAAATGTCTGAAAGAAATAGTTAGTTTTTTACTGTTTTTTCAGTGCATTCTGGGCATTTTGGAAGGTCTCCTGAGGTTATCTTTAAAAAATGCTTCTAAATGCAAACACTCATAAACGCGTATAAACGCGGTATGCAAACGCGGCTAAACAGATGTTTTTTAACCTATGTTTTCCAGTAGTCAGTTTCCATCGTTCAGAAGCGTCCCGCGTACATGGAGCCTAAATGATGCATGACACGTATTATACGTGTTCGTTTAATACACTCTTTGGCTTTGACTAGAAAGCGGAGTTGGATTTAGGCACATGTGTAGCAAGACTAAAAAAATCACTTTAATATATTTGTTGCAGTCTAAAGCTTGCTATATGTTTATATTACCTACATGTTCAGCAATGTGTTTCCTACAATATTGAACATGGCTGTCTTTATTTCTCTTCGTATTTAGAAGAGAATTGAATCAAAGCAATTCCACATGCACAGCTTGTTGTGAATGGTCACACGCAGCATCATACATGACAAGAATATGTTCCAATGCCTATGCAAGAGGCAACTGTCACCCTTGTGTATGGGAAAAACTAATATTCACACTTAATTTAACAATCCAAACTGTGTGAAATAGCCAGAAGCTGTGTTTTTTTCTTTAGATTAATAACGAATAACCCAAAGGACTGTAAAGTCAAAGCGCATAGAAAGAAACAGTGAAAGCTTCAGTAGTGCATCTCATCAAATTCATGACAGCGTATCCAGAGAGAGGTTATTTTATCTTCAAAGTGACACTTTGTGAATGTTGTTCACTGAACCAGGCAGGCACTATGGTGTATGTACTTACATTTCTCTCACCCTCCATACAGAAAATGAGAATATTAACCTTTAAAATATGTATCTTCAAATTCCACTTATTTTTGTGTCGGGGGACAGCTATAGATTTCACACTGAATAATTTAGTTTATGTGTTCATAAGTCAATGCTAAGCCTTGGTAGCAAAGAAAACATAACATTTGTACATAATATATAAATATATATATATATATATATATATATATATATATATATATATATACATACACACACACACACACATTTACACATGCATTCAAAGCTATAATCAATAAGCTGAGCACCACACAATCATACCAGTACATTATATATATATATTTACATTTGCATTCAATAAAGCTGTAATCAATAAATCAATCAGCTGAGCACCACACAATCATACCAGTACATAATATAAACATATATATATATATATATATATATATATATATATATATTCACACTTGCATTCAATAAAGTTGTGATCAATAAATCAATAAGCTAAGCACCACACAATCATACCAGTACATTATATATACATATATATATATATTTACACTTGCATTCAATAAAGCTATAATCAATAAATCAATAAGCTGAGCACCACACAATCATACCAGTACATAATATATACATATATATATTTACACTTGCATTCAATAAAGCTGTAATCAGTAAATCAATAAGCTGAGCACCACACAATCATACCAGTACATAATACATACATATATATATATATTTACACTTGCATTCAATAAAGCTGTAATCAATAAGCTGAGCACCACACAATCATACCAGTACATAATATATACATATATATATATATATATATATATATTTACACTTGCATTCAATAAAGCTGTAATCAATAAATCAATAAGCTGAGCACCACACAATCATATCAGTACATAATATATAAATAAATTATATATATATATATATACTGTGTGTGTGTGTATATATATATATATATATATATTTTTTATATTTTTTTTTTTTTTACACTTGCATTCTATAAAACTTGCAATAATCAATAAGCTGAGCACCACACAATCATACCATGGAACTGCCAGTGTGTATGAAGTATGCCAAAACCCATTTATTGGGTAGCTGTCTCCAAACAGATACCATATACTAAAAAGGAAACAAAGACGGATATGACACAAAATCTGTAAGTTGCTGCAAAATACAACTGCAAAACCTATGAAACTAACCAAAAGCAAGTTTTGATACATTTTTTGGTTAGCATAAAGACCATTTATCATTATCCGCTGTAGGTCACTGGGGTTATAATAAAGCCCAATATATTAGTAGGTTTAAATGAACACCATGCATGCATAAAACGCTTTACTATAAAAGGTTTTTTTTTTCTTCGGTTCTCTTAAGTTGTAACCATGAACTTACAGCTAAGTAACTGGTACAATCTCAGGGCATGCACGTTTCCTAGCAACAGTATACGTCCTTAAGGTCAGGTCGCAGGATTCCGACCTCATCCTGTTGCCGGCAAAATCTATTCTGTCACCCTTAGCTTAAAAGAATATTCATAATTCAGCTGAGTTTAATCAAAGGGCTCTTGCATGTACACCTGTGTATTTTTAAATTAATTACATTTATTTTATTGCTTTCAGGTTCAAAACAGTTTTTTCTAATAGGCTAGAAAGCAATTTGTAACCAGAAGGCAGGTTTGTGAACCTGTGCTTTGAAAATCCCACAGCACTGAAAAAACATACATATATATGTGGGAAAAAAAGAAGACATAGAGAAAAAGAAGAAAAGTTTCAGGAATTCTTACGCACATCAATGCACTCACCGTGGAATTCTACTTCTCTAAGAAGTGTGGAACTGTAAGGCAGGAAGTAGGATAACTTCATATGAAATGCTTCTCTTGTTACTTAAGCCTGTACATTTAAAGCAATCGCTATAGAGAAAAGAAAATGTTCAAGTTCTACTTATTGTCATGGGAGTACTAATAAGTCTACTGCTTCTAGAGAATAAAACAGTATCTGCACAATGTCTGCCTAATGGCATTTAGCATGAAAGGTTTTAAGTAGTTTCATTCAGTAGAAAGAAATAGTTGGGGATTGGCCTAAACAGAAAAAACTGTTTTATCTTTATGTCGCTTCTGACATGGGTGGGAAAATATATATACTGCCACTTTGACAAGAGCACCAAACCTATATGTGTTATAAAAATGCTGTGGAAATATTTTTGGCTAGGATTTACACATTCGGTTTTGAACTGGAGAGCCCTGCTTCTGGTTTCACAGGTAATGTCTCAGTGAAGAAAGTGATCCGCACTATCGCTACTGCGCTAAAATCTTCCTTTATTACATCGACCACAAAAAATTACATCAAGAATACAGTAGGTTGACGTGTTCCAGCTACACAGCCTTAGTCATAGTCTATATTTTTATGCTCCGCTCATTCCCCCATCAACATTGACTGTGTTGATGGGAAAATCAGGTGATTTTCTTTCCTTCCACCCATGATGGAAAGAAAGAAAATCAAATCATCTATAGGCTGCTTTAATCTACTGTACATCACAAGTGAAAAAAAAGGAAGGAAGGTGTTACTACCCAACTAAGAATCCATATCGGCAACTAGGCAGGTGCATGATCCACAGTTGCTCATCTGTGGAAAGTTTCAGTGAAGAAACTGAGACTTAGTCATAGCCTATATGGGGCTATGACAAAGCTGTGTAGCCGAAATGCGTCAACCTACTATATTCTTGTTTTGTTTTGTTGTTGATGTAATGAAGGAAGATTTTAGCACAGTGGCTGTAGTGTGGATCAATTTCTTCACTGAGACTTTCCACAGATGAGCAACTGTGGATCATGCACCTGCCTAGTCGTTGATATGAATTCTTAGTTGGGTAGTAGCACCTTCCTTCTTTTTTCACTGGTGATGTACAGTAGATTAAAGCAGCCTATAGATGATTTGATTTTCTTTCCTTCCATCATGGATGGAAGGAAAGAAAATCACTTGATTTCCCCATCAACACAGTCAAAGTTGATGGGGGAATGCAGGGAGCATATAAATCATAGCATGGACAAAATCCAACAGGCTGGTTGTACCCAAGTCAATAGATGGATCAACTTGAATACAATCAGCCTGCCCATATATGGATCAAATCTCGGTTTGTCCCTGCTGAACTGGATAAATTTCAATCCATGTATGGCCTGCTTAAAGCTCAACTACAGCTAACCTCTATGCACCCCACCTACTCTCCAATGAAGGCCTCCCGCACTTGAAAAATATAGAGTATGCAAATCTTTTTCACTGAGCCTTCAATCTGGCTGTATGACATCATGACTCCTCTTTTCCCTCTTCTTCCTCTAGCGGTGGGTATTTGAATGCTGCAGTGTAAGCATCAGCAATCTTATGTAAGCCTGGGCTGGCTTGCTGATGTTTCCCCAGGACACAGGAGTCAAACTGGCGGCCCTCCAGCTGTTGACAAACTACAGGACCCGTAAGGCATTGCAAGACTGACAGTTATTATTATTATTATACAGGATTTATATAGCACCAACAGTTTTCTCAGCGCTTTACAATATAACGGGAGACAATACAGCAACAATACAGTTCAATACAAGAGGGATATGAGGGCCCTGCTCCTTGGAGCTTACAATCTAAGAGGGAGGGGCTAGTGGTACAAAACATAGTAACTGTAGGGGATGGACTGGTAGGCAGGGTAGATATTCAATTATTAGCTGAGAGCAGGATAGGCTTCCCTGAAGAGATAGGTTTTCAGAGATTGCCTAAAAGTGAGCAGAGTAGGCGATAGTCTGATAAATTGGGGTAGGGAGTTCAAGAGGATGGGAGAAGCTCTGGAGAAGTCCTGGAGACAAGCATGGGAGGAGTAGATGAGGGAGCAAGACAGCAGGAAATCGTTTGAGGAGCGGAGTGGACGGTTTGGGTGATATTCGGAGACAAGATTGGTGATGTAATTTGGGGCAGAGCTATAAATGGCTTTATATGTTATTGTTAATGTTTTGAATTTTATTCGTTGGGCAATGGGAAGCCAGTGGAGGGATTGGCAGAGAGGAGTGGCAGATACGGAAAGGTTAGTAATGTGGATGAGTCTGGCAACAGCATTCATGATAGACTGAAGAGGGGATAGCCTGCGATGAGGTAGGCCAATGAGGAGGGAGTTACAATAGTCAAGGCGAGAGATAACAAGGAAGTGAATAAGTTGCTTAGTAGTTTCTGAGGTTAAAAACGGCCGTATCTTGGAGATGTTGCGAAGGTGAAGTCTACATGATTTGGACAGCGATTGGGGCTGAAAGGACAGATGGGAGTCTAGGATTACACCTAGTACCCTGACATGAGGGGAGGGACTGATGGTTGTATTATTGGTTACAAGCATGACTCCCAAAGGCAGGAATGATGGGACCTATAGTTTCGCAACAGCTGGAGGGCCGCCAGTTTGACACCCCTGCCCCAGGAGGTATATTGATAATGGCATGGCCTCACAGGGAGTGTATTGCAAGATGATGGGAATCATTCAGCCTGGAAAATAAGCAGCACTAGACCTCAAAGAGGACCTTTGTGGGGGACAGTGCCAGAGTGGAAGTGAGCATTGTAGAGAGAGTTGCATTTTTTTTATTTTAACCCCACTTGGCTATTGTATTTTACATATTAAAAGGAAACTGGAGTTCTGCTTTATGTATGGATTCATTTTTTTAACAGAACTGGACAACAGGTAGCTAAATAGAGACAACACTATTTACATATGGGCACCTTGACCAAAGCAAAACTATTGTGTTTGCACCACCTGTGACTCAAGTGGTATAAAAATAGCATACTCTAAGAATATGATCATAGCCTCAGTGGCTCATTGCACCACTGTACAGACACAGTGATGTGCATTTAAAGGAGAAGTTCACATTAGGAATATGTTACATATTCCACTAATTTTTAGAGCAGAACATGTAACATGTTCCAGTATCTGCAACCTCTCCCCTCCCCTCATCTCCTCGTCCCTGTGAATGAATAGCCAGATTGTGGCTGATGGCTTGTAGTTCTCAATGAACTACCGGGGCACAGGTGAGTGATCTTGTAGTCTATTGAACTTCCTGCTCTCAGGTAACTACCTGCCCCTTAGAGGTAAGAACTATCCTGAGAATCTGCAAGAGCCTGAAATTGCACCCCTGATTTGCTGGTCGTGGGTGTAATGCTCTGCAGGATCCTTTGAAAAAATAATAAATGCACATTTTTTTTACTTGCAAAACCTGTACATTTTTTTTTTTTAAAAGATGAACTTATCCTTTAATGCATGATGGGTTTGATGGGTTATAACCAACAGCATTTACACCTAGTGGCCACTGTATTAGGTACTCCTGTTGTTAAAGCGGAGCTCCACCCAAAAGGGGAAGTTCCTCTTAAATGCATTACTCCCCGCTCCCCGTTAAGGATTGGCACCTTTGGGGAGCAGGGGGGAGCAGGTACCTGAATTTGACAGGTACCCTCTCCCACTTCTGCTGTGAACGTCTAAGGTGATCGAAAGTTATCCTCCCCCCTCCTTCCCTCCCCGTAGTCTTCTGGGACACGTGACAGGTCCCAGAAGACTACGGGGGGGACCATTCGCAAAGCGCAGCGCTACTCATGCATGCACAGTGGGCACCTAGCTGTGAAGCCGCAAACTGTCACAGCCGGGTGCCAACACTGAAGATGTTGGCACTGGGCAGAGAAGATGGCTGGTGAAACCAGCCATGGTGTGGACACTGCTGCATCGAGGGACAGGTAAGTGTCTGTATTTTGAATGTCATCAGCTACAGTTTTTGTAGCTGCTGACTTTTATTTATTTTTTTAAATCAACTGGAACTCCACTTTAATATCTATCAAGCGAATCATATGACTGAAAATGATGCAAAACACATGCAGACTTGGTTTGGATACAGGGGCGGACTGACCATTCGAGCACTCGGGCACTGCCCGAAGGGCCCGGAGTCAGTAGGGGGCCCCAAGAAATGCCCCTGGTACCTTTTATAGGCTTTTTTGGCTGTGCTTTGAGTGTGGTCAAGGACACAGAGGCCCCATGATCCCCTATTGCCCGGGGGCTCCATGAGTTGTCAATCCATTGGATGTTAAGTTGTTGCTTGACCAAACGCTGGAATGGGAAAGATGCTTGACACAATCAACTTTACCTATGGGTTGTTGACTGGTTCCATACATGGTGGTTGCAGTATTTGACCTCCTAAGATTTTCTCATGCTACACTCTCTAGAGGTGTATAGCTATGATTCATGGGATTTAGTGTCAAATATGACCAACATCACTAAATTTAATTTGTGGGGTTAAACTGTGCTTCAGGAAACAATGTTTAGACTTTATGTGCATGCTAATGCTGTTCTCAAGCTGCCATGCTTCAGTAAATGTCAGATGGATTTGTTTAAACGGAAACCGGGGGACTAGACTAATACACCTTACTAACCGATCTGTGACTGCTGCCCCTCTCTGCTAATCTCTTTACTGACTTCCACTAACCCAACACTTAAAATTCAAAATACTAACTACAATGTATGTGAACACACTGCAAAATATATTCCCATGGGCAACAAGTTTAACCTCCCTGGCGGTATGATTATGTCAGGAATTGTGTACCAAAAGCAGTACCATTTTTTTGCATGGAAATTTGGTGTTATGTATTGTAGGCCTGCAATTCTTAGTAATTACTTACTTAATAAATACTCATAAAAAATAATAATATAATAATAATAAATTTAATTCAATAATATAATCAAACCAAAAATACTGAAATTTGAAATATATCGCCAAGTTCGCACATCACTGAGCAAAGTCGCAAAATCGTTTTCAGTGTCTGATGGCGAATTTCCCCCATGAATCATTATCACTCAATTCTGCAAGTAGTTCTAATTTACTTTCTGTTCTCTAGCTGGTCTAAAGCCGATTTTGACCTAAAGGGACGCTTTTTGGACGCTGTGGACTTTTCTAAGTTTCCAGGCAGAAAGAACAGTCAAAATGCAGGCAGGGCACAGGACAAAGCAGTAGGGACAAAATGTATGTGAAATGCTTTGATACAGGAATGTTTTGCTATGAAATAATCGTTTTAAAAAAAAGTAATTTTTTTTTTAATTTTCAAATTTGCCGCCGGTTCCGGCGCCCGTACGTCCCGACGTCACAGGGACCGGAACATGAAAGCCAGATGCCGGCATCGGCCAGAGGAGATGGCCGGGGACGCTGCAGGGAGCGATCGTGGGAGCGAAGGACAAGGTAAGCACTGTAGGGAAGCCCTGTGCAACGCCGCATGGTAAGCCCGAGTGTAGCTCGGGGTTACCGCTTTTGGTACTAAAACTTTACCCCCAGCTACACTCGGGAAATACCTCCAGGGAGGTTAAAAGGCTAAAAACCAAACCTATATGGCTTATGACCAAAGCTAAAAAAGCTATAGATAAGAAAAGAGTTTTTATTAAATATAAAAATGAAAGAACGCTATCATCGTTTAAACGTTGATAAATTATAGCACTGTTTAAGTTAAAAACAACAGCTTCAAAATAGCTGCACTCACAACAGTCCAAATTCAGAACAGATAATATCAATAGAGTTATAGTGTTGCACTATCCCTTTAAATCCTCAAACATTTTTTATACAATTTATATAAACCATATACGATATTCACAAATAAACAAAAGTGAATAGAAAACCATAGTAAGTCCACAAAAAAAAAAACAGTCATAAAGTCAGTGATTTAATTAAAATGTATATGGTATAAGAAAATTGTGCAGCAATATCTTCCACAAATGTTATCACTTCTGTGTTCCACAACGTGTGCATACACAAGCTTGTTACCAAATATAGATGACCTGCTGAATGCGAGGTCTTCAATGCTTTCAAGATTAATATAAAAAAAAAATATACTGACTGGTGATCCCATGGATAAAAATAACCCATTGATGTTATATGTCAAAGGAAAAAGATGAAACTTGTACAAGCAGGCACAACTGCTCAAACAACCACTTTTTGCTGAATGCAGAGCATTCTGAATCTTGATGAGGATGGGCTGCAGATGCAGACTAACATGTCAGATTCTGAGAATTTAGATTTCTGTGCCAGTGGTGGGGTTTGAATTTGATGAATGCATGAGTCCATGGATCTATTTTGTTTATAATAAGTACAGGCTTTTTACTGTAGTTTGATGATGTAGACAATGATTTCTTGGCATACATATGGATCATTAACCACTTCAAGTCCAGACACTTTCACCCCCTTCCTGTCCAGGCCAAATTTCAGCTTTCAGCTCTATCACACTTTGAATGACAATTGCGCGCGGTCATGCAACACTGTAACCATATGAATTTTTTTGCATTTTTTGAAACAGATAAAACTTTATTTTGGTGGTATTTATTCACCACTGGGATTTTTATTTTTTTGCTATATAAATGAAAAAATTCTAAACATTTTGAAAAAAGTGTTTTTCTTATAACATTTTGCAAATAAATAATCTTTCTTCATAAATATTGGCCAAAATGTATTCAACTATCTTTTTAGTAAAAAAAAAATAACCCAAATTAGTTTATAACCAAAAATTATAATTTTTTCAAATGTATTTTAATTTTTATTTTATTTTTTTATATTATTATTTATATATATATATTTTTTTAACACACTGTCACCCTAGCATGGTGACACTGTACTACTTGTGGGGGGTGATGAAGATTTTTTTTTTATTTTTTGTTACACTGATTGCTTTTATACCCATAAAGGCTGTAAAAGCAATCATTTTCTCCTTCTCTCTGGCTGCATTCTTGCAGCCACTGAGAAATACTGTGAGAGCTGTAGTTGGTCACAGCTTGTCACATGGTACAAGGCTGTTGTGAATAGCCTTGTACCATGTGACCTCTGTGATCATTCACAGATTTCACACGTAGTAAGCAATGATGTCAGAAGTGACATCTTGCTTACTACTATTCATATGATCACTGATTAGTCAATCAGTTATCACATGATCGGGACCTCACACAGAGGTCCCGTACAGTGATCAGTGTTCCGCTGTGTCCGGAGGTCCCAGGGAACGCGCACAATAAATGCGGAGGCCGCTTATAAACAGCCACCTGCTCCTGCACTACTCCCGTCTGGCTGTTTATGTACATGGGCCGGATGGGAAGTGGTTAAAGTGGTTCTAAAGGAAGAAGGTTTTTTTACTTTAATGTATTCTATGCATTAAGTTAAAAAACCTTCTGTATGCTACCCCCAGCCCCCCCCTAAAACTTACTTTAGCCAGATCTCAATGCAGCAACGTGCATGAGTGCAGCATCTCTCTTGGCTCTCTCTCTCCACATTGGACAGTTGCTGTCAATCACAGCTGTGGAGAGAGCAGGGATCAGGGGCGAGCTGCACTTTGTGTGGACATAGAGAGCCGGCTCTGAAGTGAACACAAATGAGTGCCTTCATTGCTTTGGAAGCACGCGGCAGGATGGAGGGGCCAGAAGCACAGGTGGGAGACCCCAGAAGAGGAGTATTAGGGCAGCTCTGTGCAAAATTATTCCACAGAACAGGTAAGTGGGACATGTTTGTTATCTTTAAAAATAAAAAATGTTGCCTTTAGAATCCCTTTAATACTGACCCAGCAACACTTGAATGTCACAATTATCTGACTATTGTTGCTGACCATTTGTATTATTTTAAGGAATACCAATGTATACCTATATATATATTTTGTTGAATGATGTATATGTGTCAACTAGGTTTCTCACATAAACATGATGAGGGGCTCCATGGTTTACAACTGATAAGGAAAAAAATATATTTTTTTTTGTTTTCTCAGAATCCTAATTAGTTCGGTACTGAGACCTGGAGCCTGGGGCTTTGGAGAGCTTTGGAAGGGGGAGGATGTGCTTCCATTCCTAGGTTTATGTCTTTCCTGGTAGCTATTTAACTAATGTTTTCAAAAAAAATGCTGATCAGGGTTTTTATAACAGAAGAGACCTAATGGTCTCTTCTGTCATAAATTGGTCTGACCTGTCAGCTGTAACATATTCTGAGCAATTCCTGCACAGCTTAGACCACATTAATAGCACCCTTGCTGTGCCGTGGTGATGGAACGTCATCATGGCCCAGCCATTCCAGTGGCTGAAGAAACCGAACTGGGAAGGCAGACTGGAAGTTTTTGGGCCCTGTGGGATCCTTGACAGTGCAGAGCTGTAGAGCACATTATGGTACTAGCATATTATGACATATACCTGCAGATGGTATAGTTGAAAACAAAATTTAAAGAGAGTTTACTACCCCTTTAATAGTCTCAGCTTTGCACAGGCATATATGTGACATGACTGGTGCTCAGGACTAGGTATGATCTCAGGCGTGTTTAAACCCACCTAAGCTATCGCTCCAAGAAGTCTCTTACTGTGAACAGCCATTCATAAGCAGCAGAGGCATTCCCCACCCCACAGACGTGTATATGTGCTTTTGCCATTTATGAGTGGCTGATTGCAGTGTCAGCTTCTTGTTGGAGCAGCTAAGGTGGGTTCAGAACCCGCCTACACTCATCCCTGCTCAAGACCCCCTCTCTAGTGCTTTCTGCTATGGGAGCCTGCTGTTGGGTAAAAAAGTCTGACTGCTGACAGAACACTAAAAAAGGTATATGTGCTGCCTGTTTTTTTTTTTTACAAGCCCACGATGGGGCATTCTGTTATTTAGGGACTGGCCTAGGTTTCGTTAGTTGCTTGGACAAGCAAATGTTTTGTTTGTTGTACGCTATAGGCTTGCTGTAGAAAGCCCTCCTGTGTTTGTATGGACTATTTCTCGGTGCCTCTCTATTGTTTTAAAGTTGTCCCTACAAGTTGAGCCTTATAAATATATATATATATATATATATATATATATATATATACAGTCAGGTCCATAAATATTGGGACATCAACACAATTCTAACATTTTTGGCTCTATACACCACCACAATGGATTTGAAATGAAACGAACAAGATGTGCTTTAACTGTAGACTGTCAGCTTTAATTTGAGGGTATTTACATCCAAATCAGGTGAACAGAGTAGGAATTACAACAGTTTGTATATGTGCCTCCCACTTGTTAAGGGACCAAAAGTAATGGGACAATTGGCTTCTCAGCTGTTCCATGACCAGGTGTGTGTTATTCCCTCATTATCCCAATTACAATCAGCAGATAAAAGGTCCAGAGTTCATTTCAAGTGTGCTATTTG